CAGAATTATATAAATCTGGTAAGCATTTCAAGGGTGTTCCGAGACACCACTTCAGTATTATATAAATCTGGTAAGTATGTCAAGGGTGTTCCGAGTCACCTCTTCAGTATTATATAAATCTGGTAAGTATGTCAAGGGTGCTCCGAGTCATCTATTCAGTATTATATAAATCTGGTAAGCATATCAAGGGTGCTCGGAGTCACCACTTCAGTATTATTTAAATCTGGTAAGCATTTCAAGGGTGTTCCTAGTCACCACTTCAGTATTATATAAATCTGGAAAGCATTTCAAGGGTGTTCCGAGACACCACTTCAGTATCATATAAATCTGGTAAGCATTTCAAGGGTGTTCCGAGTCACCACTTCACTTCCTTTAACCTGGTCAGCTTCTCTTCTGTTTATCAACTTACGAATTCATTATAATGGACATTATTACTATTTCTGTTATGTATTTAGTGTCACAACTCATTATAAACAGAGAAACCACTGATATGAAGGAGATGTATCGATTTCTTCCATATAATAGGGCTTTCAATTCCTAATTTATACACATGATGTGCAATTAATCACGCTTGTACGTTTTTCTACATTTTGTAACCCCTCATTGCTTTCAGCTTGTTTATTATCCGGGAAATCTTCTATACACGTATTGTTTTTACAAGTCGTATTAATTTATTTAACATCATTAAATATGGTGACCCTCTTATGATAGTAACCCCCTGGCTTCCAAAACCCCCGACGTTTTAAATATGTCGCAGGTGAATCGGTATTAAAAAGCTTGCTCCGAACATCATAATTCCGTGACTGATGTCGACTGCTGACGGACAAACCTGTACCATGGGCTTTCCAGAGATGCATTTTGATGAAGACTACCGACAACTTTAGGTGATATGAAGGTCGTTGTTTTTGAATAAGCTCAGTAATGTGTCTTGTGGTGTTGGTGTCACTACTCCATTTCTCGCTTTGAGGACGTGACATTGCTTGGATTTGACCTAGATTTGACCTAGATTTAGAAGGTGGGTGTCGCCGATGAAGCAGAAAACACGTACCATTTTAGGAAACCTGCCCTTATTCTTATGGTACGTTTTCCAGGGTCTACCGGTTAATGTTTCATTTGATCATATATTGCTTTTGTTTTATTCCTCTCGAGTACTAATAACAGTTTTGTTGACAAATCGGTCTCTATTGCTTTTTTAGGAAAATTTCATAAATAACGAAATATTTTACCAGAAATATACCTTAGTAGGAAAGTGATATCGGAAACCAAATGTGGCTTGTCATGCTCCTTATTATTGGTTGAAAGAATAAAATTGATGTTTAACATAAAAAATAATACTGCAGTATTTTAATTGTCCGGAAAATCTTAAACGTACAAAAATTACATATTTTTGCTCAAGATACCTAAACTTGATTATTATAAAGTGCGTTATATAAGTTATATATAAACTTGTGTCCAACTCCCATTGTATATATATTACAATTAAATATATTTAAACAAACTATTTTCAAAAAGTTTCTAGAATAGAATAGGTTTTGGATGAAGTAATTGATTTTTACGATTTTTATTGTTGTTTTTTCGCCTTATTTGACGTTTAGGTACCCATACGTTCTAGCTATCCTGGTGTGTAATATTTGACGTTTAGGTACCCATACGTTCTGGCTATCCTAGTGTGTAATATTTGACGTTAAGGTGCCCATACATTCTAGCTATCCTAGTGTGTTATATTTGACGTTTAGGTACCCATACGTTCTAGCTATCCTAGTGTGTAATATTTGACGTTTAGGTGTCCATACGTTCTAGCTATCCTGGTGTGTAATATTTGACGTTTAGGAACCCATTCGTTCTAGCTATCCTGGTGTGTAATATTTGACGTTTAGGAGCCCATACGTTCTAGCTATCCTGGTGTGTATTATTTGACGTTTAGGAACCCATACGTTCTAGCAATCCTAGTATGTAATATTTGACGTTTAGGTGTCCATACGTTCTAGCTATCCTGGTGTGTAATATTTGACGTTTAGGAACCCATACGTTCTAGCAATCCTAGTGTGTAATATTTGTCGTTTAGGAACCCATACGTTCTAGCTATCCTGGTGTGTAATATTTGACGTGTAGGTACCCATACGTTCTAGCTATCCTGGTGTGTAAAATTTGACGTTTAGGAACCCATACGTTCTAGCAATCCTAGTATGTAATATTTGACGTTTAGGTGTCCATACTTTCTAGCTATCCTGGTGTGTAATATTTGGCGTTTAGGTACCCATACATTCTAGCTATCCTGGTGTGTAATATTTGACGTTAGGGAACCGTTTATGTACTGATACGTTCTAGCTATCCTGGTGTGTAATATTTGATGTTAGGGAACCCATACGTTCTAGCTATCCTAGTATGTAATAATTGACGTTTAGGTGCCCATACGTTCTAGCGATCCTAGGGGGTAATATTTGACGGTTAGGTACCCATACGTTCTAGCTATCCTAGTGTAATATTTAACGCTTAGGTACCCATACTTTCTAGCTATCCTGGTGTGTAATATTTGGCGTTTAGGTACCCATACATTCTAGCTATCCTGGTGTGTAATATTTGATGTTAGGGAACCCATACGTTCTAGCTATCCTAGTGTGTAACAGTTGACGTTTAGGAACCCATACGTTCTAGCAATCCTAGTATGTAATATTTGACGTTTAGGTGTCCATACGTTCTAGCTATCCCGGTGTGTAATATTTGACGTTTAGGTATCCATGCGTTCTAGCTATCCTAGTGTGTAATAATTGACGTGTAGGTGCCGATACGTTCTAGCTATCCTAGTGTGTAATTTTTGCCCTTTAGGTGTCCATACTTTCTAGCTATCCTAGTGTGTAATATTTGAAGTTTAGGTACCCATACGTTCTAGCTATCCTAGTATGTAATAATTGACGTTTAGGTGCCCATACGTTCTAGCTATCCTAGGGTGTAATATTTAACGTTTAGGTACCCATAGGTTATAACTATCCTAGTGTGTAATATTTGACGTTTAGGTGTCCATACGTTCTAGCTATCCCGGTGTGTAATATTTGACGTTTAGGTATCCATGCGTTCTAGCCATCCTAGTGTGTAATATTTGACGTTTAGGTGTCCATACGTTCTAGCTATCCCGGTGTGTAATATTTGACGTTTAGGTATCCATGCGTTCTAGCTATCCTAGTGTGTAATAATTGACGTTTAGGTGCCCATACGTTGTAACTATCTTAGTGTGTAATATTTGACGTTTAGGTGTCCATACTTTCTAGTTATCCTGGTGTGTAATATTTGACGTTTAGGGACCCATACGTTCTAGCTATCCTAGTGTAATATTTAACGTTTAGGTACGCATACTTTCTAGCTATCCTGGTGTGTAATATTTGACGTTTAGGGACCCATACGTTCTAGCTATCCTAGTGTAATATTTAACGTTTAGGGACCCATACTTTCTAGCTATCCTGGTGTGTAATATTTGGCGTTTAGGTACCCATACATTCTAGCTATCCTGGTGTGTAATATTTGACGTTTATGTACCGATACGTTCTAGCTATCCTAGTGTGTAATTCTGACGTTTGGGAACCCATACGTTCTAGCTATCCTAGTGGGTAATATTTGACGTTTAGGAACCCATACGTTCCAGCAATCCTAGTGTGTAATATTTGTCGTTTAGGTACGCATACGTTCTAGCTATCCTGGTGTGGAATATTTGAAGTTTAGGTACCCATACGTTCTAGCTATCCTAGTATGTAATATTTGTCGTTTAGGTGTCCATACTTTCTAGCTATCCTGGTGTGTAATATTTGGCGTTTAGGTACCCATACATTCTAGCTATCCTGGTGTGTAATATTTGACGTGTAGGTACCCATACGTTCTAGCTATCCTGGTGTGTAATATTTGACGTTAGGGAACCAATACGTTCTAGCTATCCTAGTGTGTAATAATTGACGTTTAGGTGCCCATACGTTCTAGCTATCCTAGTGTGTAATATTTGACGTTTAGGAACCCATACGTTCTAGCTATCCCGGTGTTTAATATTTGACATTTAAGTGCCCATACGTTCTAGCTATCCCGGTGTTTAATATTTGACGTTTAGGTGCCCATACGTTCTATCTATCCTAGTGTGTAATATTTGACGTTTAGGTACCCATACGTTCTAGCTATCTTAGTCTGCAAAGTAATACGGGTAATTTTGTGCTCTTTTAGACATTGTTTTAATGATTGAAAGATAAGGAATGGGTGTATGACATAGGAATCATCGAAGGAAGACCTATTTCAAGTGGCTAGTTCACCGCTATAGACAGGATTAGGATTCCTGTTTAGTCTTGATTTCAATAATACATAGAAAGTAGTGGGCATTTCCGTAGCATATTTGGTGACCAATTTATTACTATCGAGAAATTCAGCTTTTCTGTGGTCCATCTCATCACGATTTCGTTTATATTGTCAGGTTTGGTGTTTTTATGGTACATGTATGTTTAGCAGCAACCTCTTTACTATAGTCAGGTTTGGTGTTTTTGCGGTATTTCTAATCTCCAGCTTCATTACTATTAGTATCTGAACCCGATTCATTCCGACACGCATGTGGTATTAGTTCAGTGTGCTTAAATGTCGTGGTCTTTTTCAAAAAAGATATCGCGGGGAAATGAAATCATGGAAATTTGTTCCAAAGAGGTAATTTTCAATCTTTACATATTTCTAACAAAGAGTCTTATTGAGGCTTATTTATTGTTGTACTGATCACTAAGCTTCGAGGACCTGTGACGCATTTAGTCGCATCCCTTCTACAGTGTGTCTAGGTAACTTCATTATTTTTTCAGGATAAGCATTTCTGTGGGATATTTAATCCGAACTTCATTATTACTAACAAGATAAACATTTTTGTTGCACAGAAGTCGCAAATACTGAAAAGTACAATTTTGTGGCAAATTTAGTCGCAACATCACTGCTGTAGTTAGGATAAGCATTTATGTGATGTCGTGGATTAAATCTTTTAAACACAGTAAGCATTTTTGTTCCATCTTTAATAACATTTCATCAAGAGTTAACAATGAAAAAAGTAAAATCCCTTCCGATAATGGAAACACTTATCAAGGCTTAATCCTGCGTATCTGTCATTAATCCAAGGCGCGTGTATATATCCGGGATTCCCGTATTACCACACGCATTCAGATCAATATTGCACTTGTCTAATAATACATTGGTCCGTGTGACCTGTCTAGCCACCACGTCACAAACTACAGGCGCTAAGCTGACCATCTCCACGGTGGGATACTGTTCGTCCAGACAGACACTGGACTCGTCATGATCACATCACACAACTGTACTGGTCACTGTCGAACACTGGCACTATACAAGGTTGAACGACTACATGTACGAATAGAAAACGGAAACTTGTATGACTGAACACGAATTCGAAGGATAGCTTTAAGTGGCACTCCAACTTTGTCTACTGAGTAGCAAATGGTGGGCGCAACAACTTTGGTCCTTTTTTTGTTTGGCGCATGGGCCAAGAGTTTCGAACGTCACACCAGACTTTCTTTATCCCGTCGGGCCTTGCTCCCGACCCTCCTTAAAAAAGCCTGCCTTTGTGGGACTCTCGATGAACGTTACGGTGATTTCATGACAGGTAACGTTTGTAACAAAGAGTTCATTTTCTGGAGGGTCTTCCACAGACGTTTCATAATGGGAGGGTGATGGAGGGGAAGGGGACACTACCATATCCTGGTCGCTAACTTCACCTCCAACACTGTCTGATCGATAGCCACATGTCATATCGTCATCAGATACGTATTTCACTGTCGAGTCATCAGAGAACTGGTCATCAGATTTGTCACAAAGATCTTTGTCCTGGAATTGTGTGGCATGAAAAGCGCGTGTCTGAGACACCCAATCAAAGAAGTTCCTGTCTCGACGTTGACTTTCACATGAGCACGTGCCAGGGGTGACGTAGTGATTGTCATTATTACATACTGCACACAGTTGATTGCGTGCCTCGTTTGTGGGTGTGTCATCTGTACCTCGGTCACTTTCAACTGACCCCAGCTTGTCATGGGCAGCGTCGGACAGGTACCCGGCTTCCCGTCCGGTCGACTCCTCTTCTGGGAATGGGAACAGACCTATGGGAAGGTTGTTGTTCGTCTCCTCGGGGGACGGAGGAGTGAACGGATAGAGCGTGGTCAGTGGTATCCGCTTAGAAACCTGTGGAAAAGACGCCATAATATATAGAACATTAGCATTCATTCCAATCAAAATCAAAGGAAAATATGGTAAGGGAAAACATGAAGTTTGTGGAAGAATTTCTACCGAAATCAAACACTCAGGAGTTTCGCCTTTAACACAATGGTACTCAAAACGGTTTTTAAGTGCCTAACGTAGTTTAAGTATTTAAATGTATTCACGGTTAATGTTTTACAAATATGTAGCTTAGATTGCATGGCACTTTTCCCAAATTTGAAGTTCAGGTCAAATTTAAAAGGCGATTGCGAGGTATATGCCTTGCCGTCAGATACTGCAAAGTGCAAGCGGTTAAGAGTTTATAGCGAGTTGGATTTTGAAGAGCCGCTTAAGATCGTTGAAGGATTAACGACTTCTTTTGACTTAACAATACAGTTTCTTCCAAATGAAATCTCAGTTTCAGATACTATCCGAACCGCACTGTAATCTCTTAATTTGGTCCCTACAACTCAAAATGGCGCCGGGCTACACTATCCGTGTGTTTACTCTTCTCTTAATATCATATGTCGCGTTGTCTTATGCTTTCCATCTCTTATAACGATAACATCATCTCTAGGTGACCCAAAAGTAACACGGAATCCATATATTTATACGATATCCCGCTCGATATTTGAGCTGGAAGCGACACACACAGTGTTATACACACATTTGCAAGTTATCTCCCGTTGAACGACATGTTTTTCACTATTACGTAAATCGTAGAACGTGTTTTCTTTTTGGTGCTTAATTTGATTGCTATCTATTCGTCTCTTCGTTTATTTTAAGCAATGTCGTATGTACAAAGTTATTTTAGACTTATAACCACATAATCAAAACTCTACCGTTTATCTTTTTAATATACTAGTAAACATAACAAAATAAGGTTATATGATTTTTTTCGACAGTTTAGCAGGAAGGCCTACGATTCAAGATTTCAATATACGATGTTTCTTTTACTCTCCAACACAATAAGTATAACAAGATGTCACATTACAACAAATTTGTAACAAACACTGTCTCTATTGACAAAGTCTCAAGCACTTTATTGTACAGATCTGACGTCAGATTTCATCCATGTACACGCTTCCCTAATTAACTATTTATATCAGTCACTAATGAGAAGGACTTCATCATATTTGATCATTTGTTGAATTTGGTCTTCATAATGTACGTCAGGAGCACTGCTAGTTATAATCAGAGATAACGACAGTAGCATACCGACGACAGCTATATATACCGACAGGCAATGTACATTGTAACGACCAGTAAAGTGTGGGTGGAAACAATTACGGGTATACGAGTTATGCCTTTATAATACCAGTAGCCAATACACATTCCTTGTCTTATACCCATGTTTATACATGTATGCGTGTTGGAGGTCGTCACGGGAAGGCGAGATGACTAATTGGGAATTTCAACGAGATTCCAATAATTATGGGTCGATGTCTAGGATGGCCAATGAATCATTGTCTTTTACCGTGGGTATGAATCACAGACTTGTTTAGTCTGTATGAAATACCCAAACTATTCAATACACTAACTACGGCGTGACCGGCAATGTCGGAAACCAAGCTCTGATTCAGTGCAAAACATAGAAGACAAGACCAGTAAATTATATGTATGACTATAGAGCTTGGGACCTGTAAGCTCTACATAACTGTAGACATAGGGTGGACATGAAAAGTCTATATAAAGACATATGGCGTCATGTGACTATTGTTAATTTAGGCACTGAATTACTTTCAGTTGGCATTCATATTGCCTATGAATGCTAACTGAAAGCAGTTCAATACTTCTATTTACAATTTTTGGAATTTGTTCATCTCATAAAATCATAGGTCCTGAAAACTGTAAATGGGCACAGAACCTGTTAAACTATATATGGACTTAGGACCTGGCATCTGTATAGATAGACACAGGACCTGTCATCTGTATATATAGACATAGGAATTATTAATGGACAATCTGAACACATGGATATTGGACTTGCAAACGGTCTATGTGGCCGTTGATACTCTTAACTATTTATAGAGACATAGGACCCGCTAACTGTATGTGTAACAGGAGAAATAGAAATGCACGGCCAGATCAGGGTTCGAACCCGGAACACTCCGAACTCTAGACGGACGCTCTACCAGTTTCGCTACCTGGTCGACCCAGTCCAGTTTCGCTACTAGGACAATGTATCGACACAGAACCCGTAAACTGTTTATGTATACATATCGACACAGGACCCGTAACTGTATATATATATACATATTGACACATGACCCGTAAACTGTATATATTAACGGGCGACATTCTATTTATCTGCCATCCAAATCGCATTCATATCAACTGTATACTGCATCTGGTAACAGTTCAATGCTTATACTTACATTTATATAGTGTGTTTTGTATAGGAACTTGAGCATAAATACGTTTGAATTTCTCGCTTATCATATCAGTGACGTCAGTTCAAATCCCAGAACAGCCGAATTTTCCAGAAGAAATAATATAGTCCCTCGTGTCATTGCAACCCACACGCACATTAAATGGTTTGAACACAAACTCAACTTTATTATTAATTTCATATGAGTGCGTATATGTTGAAAAATTGATAATTATTGCATAACTCCTGCTTGTTTAAAATTAAAGCTGATTTTCGCGCATTGATAGATTACATGTATTTGGAAGTGATGCGGTGCTGACGCTTATGTTTCCATCGACTGGATTATTACGGTTTTTTCAGAAGCATAGGCCTATATAGGCCTACTCGGAAATTTTTAATTAAAGTGGCCCTTTCAGTAGGTGCTAACGATTCCAAGGACATCTCGTTTGAAACAGATTCCATGTCTAATCGGTCAGATTAGCATCGCTAGCAGATCATGCCAGATGACCTTCACAGGGGCTCGGTTTCGTGATTTTGAGTAATTGATGACATCACTGAAGAACCACAACACTTAAAAAGGTATTTATACACATTCTAAAACCTTGTCGATACCCTCGGCTTTTACAAGGTTTTATAAATGTTGAATTTTAGTGTTGTGGTTATTCACTGATGTTATGCATAGCTCAAAATCTCGCAACCGAGCCACTGTGTGATGACGTTGACAAACTTGGTAATTTCTTATCTAGAATGACACTTACAATAATTTTGTGGTACCTACACACTAAATTAATGTAATAAATTTATATTGTCATAATTTGTCAAGTTGCTTTATTTTTTGTGATGACCTACAGTGCTAAATGCTCATGAACCCAGAAAGTTCTCTGACTATAGGCCTATTGATACCGAAAGTATCTGGTGGCCATGTATGTTCATACACTGGCCGAATCACTGTTAATTGTAGTATACAGTCTCATATACTGGAATTTGGTTTACTAACGACATATAAGCAAATGCAACACAGTGTAAATATATACATATCCATACAGGACTCGTAAATAGTATATATATGCATATCGGCACATGGTAAACTATATATATACATATCGACACAGGATCCGTAAACTGTATATATATAAATATTGATACAGGAGCCGAAAACCGTATATGTATGAACTTAGGACCCGTAATCTATACATATGAACAAAGGACGTGTAAACTGTATATATTATATATAGATGTAGGCCCCTTAATACTTGTTATACACGGACTCCTTAAATGCACAGCTACGCGTCACAGCGCGTGGGTTCAGCATTAATTTATAGTTCGGAACATCTAATTACATAGTCAATGTCGCTTGTGACGTCGTGGCCTTTTAACGAAATAACACGTTGGCATTGTTTTCTTTCCCGAGAAATTATTGAGGAGATGTTGACATGATCCAGCACATAACTTGTATTATCTCCCACTTATCCCTTAATTCTATACACGATCTCAATCAGTCCAAATCGGCACTATGGTTATCGATCATGATATTAATAGATATGTGCGAGGGCGAAATAGAGCGCTGAATGGATGGACGCGTCAATCACATCTCATTTATCTTTGATTGTGACGTCATGTAAACTTTTTATGAATAGCGATGGTTACATACCTCGTATAGCCTCCGCTTGCCAAAGCGCCGGGAGTAAGGTCTACAAAAGGCAAAGACGCAATCATCAATACTGCACAACAATATATATCACAGGAGAAGACAAAATCCCCACCAAATATACGAAAACTAGGAACCTCAAAGTAGTTTACATGTAACATATATACCTTCGGTTACATTCACGGTTCCCATTAAACTTGTATGCCACCGTCAAACACATCTGTTACTCAATTAAGTAAATTGTATAAAATAACTGCACATGCTAATACAATGACAACATTTATTGATGAATTTATAGTGACAATCCTAAAGCACTGAAGGTATACATTTGGTCAACAGCATTATTGTTACACAACCACGTATCCTTACCGTTCTATGTATTCCTTAATTAACAGGGGGTCCAGAATGTTCTCTTCCGGTTCCCACGTGCACTCCCTGAAACAGACCATTTACATTAGCTTTAGAGATACTGGTACACCGGAGACCAATGCATTTCTCTGATGACACGCATGAATGTGTTTCACAGATTTCCATATATTCCTAGCACTGATTATGCTCTTTATTATTCACCCTGACTGTTTCGTCAGTTTTCAGAGGACAGGCCGGTTACTTGTACTCCATGGAGTACTACGTGTACTCTCGACAATGACGCCATAGAAAGTAACATTGTTAGCGAGATATCAGATAACCACCTAACAAGTTACATACCCACAAACAATGCTACAAACCCATTAACATGTTATATACCAAAAGACAACCGGGTAAGTACGCAATCACACGGAATTACATAAAAATGTATCTAGCAAACAACATGGGGTTGTAAATTTAAAGGGTACGTGCTTTATCGCTGGTGTGGATAATACCACGTGTGTGGTTCATGTGTGCATATTTCAAATTTCAAATACATATAGGTGTGTATTTGGTAACTCCACAGGTGACAGTTTTAGACAGTGTGGTGTGTGGTGTGATATGTGACCACGTGCTACCATTCCGATGCACCCATTCACGTGTAGCGATACAGAAGCAGATAGGCAATGTACCGTCTGGGCGATATCCTGCCCCTTGCCTCCTACACATAGGACGTCTGGTACTGTGGTCACGTAATAGACTGTACTGTGTGCACGATGTGCAAGTTGTTACAGCACAGACGTCAACGCCATGGGGTTTACGCCAGGGATTCCTGCTGGATGGCGTCATGTTTCACATTCATCATTTACAATTTCGATTAATTAAAATAGAAATCAACTGTGTTATCACCTAGGTTGATCTTGGATATTCTAAAACATATCTACTTAACACAAGATTGCAGACTAAGACTTTACCAGACTAGTAAATATGTAGACAACTAGGCTAAAATGGGCAGTGCATACCCAGGTCTACAATACACACATCATCAAGTTACTAGCACTTTGATACAGCACCTCTTGAAGGTTGTTTTTTTTCTCTCAACAATTTGGATACTTTACACCAATACCTAGTATTATGTGAAGCATCTTTACTGTTCGATAATCGATTGATCAGCTAGTTACTCTTTCGTTTTACTAGTAGATGGTAATCATCACCATAACAGAAATACAGAGCATTTACCACTGACAAATATACATGTAAAACTGGCAAAAAAGAACATCCCGATCACAATTTATTGAAACTAGATTGTGAAAAAGGCACCATGCAGCTTCTTGTGTCATCTCAGTACGACCTTCTAAATTAGAACAGTTATACAAATAATAAGTCCCAGCGACATTTTTTCCAGGAATACGGAAGTACAGGTCGGCTGACTCTACTGAAGGACACCTGCCGCATAAGTTAAACCGGAACTCAATTTAGACGTGTTTCACTAGAGCGCCGCCGACAAACCGGAAAAGGTATAGCTCGAGCATGCTCAGCTTAACAACATCACTTCGATTTTTTCCAATATTCTGACAGCATCTTTACGTCTGGAGTTTTACAGCGATTCGTTTGTCTGAGATAACAACGAAGAGGACATTCATTTCTAATGTTAGTAATCAAACTGGTTTGGGAAATGAAGTCTTTTAGCGAAAAATCATTAAGCTAACAGCGCTTTTAAAGCACGATGCAATACTCACGTGCAGTGTGTAGTCTGTGTATGCCTTTATAGCCGTTAATATTTAAAAAATATATACTTAAAGCAGTTTTAAACGATTGATTCTTGTTATCTTCTATATATGCCGAGGCTAGTTGGTATTTCTGAAATCCTAATCGTATCTACTCTAAATTGGCGTAGCCTAAACTTAGAGAAAAACTGCTGAGAAGAAAACCACTAATCCATCAATCACGTTCGTGATCATACGAATATATATACACTTAACCTCAAGTACTTGTCAACTTTCACATCTCCCAATGGAAGAGCAAAACTTATTCAAACGTAACTCTATAAACATATTACAAGGAAGTTGTATGCAGAGCCTGGCCTACACTAGTTGTAAACAACCCGAAGGTCACGGTCAAGCCACGCGCAACATAACACCACTTATGCACACGATGGCAATGTCGGATCAACAAAACGCTTCATCGCTAAAAACCTGTATCTGCATGGCATGACATACCAATATAGTGCTGTATCGGTGGTTGTCACGGTCGTAAACAGTGTCTGGACGTCATTGCATCACACACAGGTATTAATTATAAAGATGTACACTTATAAACTGCATATACTCACTTTGATGAGTATCCTTTCCATTTCACCAAGTACTGCATTTTACCCTGAAAAGAAAAGAAAACATCACAATATGATTTTCGAAGTAGTGTATGCCATTTCTGTTGATAAACAACTAGACACTTTTTATTTACACCCACTTGCGCAACTGTTAATAAAAACATGTATCGACCTCCAGAGCGAATGTAGCGGCATGGCGCCTAATACTAGCCTAACTATCAGCCAAGTAGACAATGACACAACTAACAAACTGTACCATCAAATACAAATATCAACTCGGCGTCAATTTGCCAAATCTCACCTTTCTCAGACGTTTCTTTTTGATGTAATCCGCCTTGAACACGCGTTCGCCTAGAGCCGGTAGAAATGCGTCCATCTTGGTACGAGCACTTGGTTCGAATTGATTATGCTAAACACACAGAGTTTTAGCGACGCAGTAACATAACAGACGAGGTAAACACCGAGTTGCGCGCGCACTCCGGTCGAAGCCTGACCTCATGACGTCAAGGTGTTTGTTTCACACAACAGCGCCTCGTGCTGACTCAACCGTTACTAGCTAGCTACTGGTCGCGATTATTTAAATTGAGAATGAGCGTGATTATCTTATTGGATATTTCACAATCCATGTGACATATTTCAAGTCACTTATTACGGGACCATGCGCGGACCTGACTCAGCAGACGACATATATATATATACGAAGAAAAGTCAGCGTTGGCTATTTTTAGAACTTAATCATATCTATTTTATCTGCGATGTTGAACTACGAACGACATGGTGGAAAGTTTATGCGCCTAACCTGCCGATGTTCATATCTATTAATAGATTGATATTAAAAAGACACACGTATGAGTCGTTGGGGTATAGCGACTTTGTCATGATTGTGTTGTGGGCATCAATTAATACATTGTTATATTGTCACGCGGCGATAACCGGGGTAGAACTACCACGTGTAGCGTGACTGGTGGGGCGTGGTCCTGCGTGTACTTACAATATATTGCAATGATTCACGGTCATATGACGACGTGGTTATGTACGTACTGCGCCGGTTTTACAATTCCACATTCGTCTATGACTTTGATTATAACAATAAAAGGGTGGTGTGATGTAAATCATCAACGAAAATCTCGAAAAATCCCATAAATTACTGGAATGTTGTGTTTTTCATTTACAAAAAAAAATCCTAAAGGGAATGAAACTTACTGCTGTCTGCATGTATAATTAATTTCCAAGTATGCAACTGCGTCATTATAGAAGTCGTTTTGTCGTTGGATATTTCAACTGCGCCAAAAATAAGTGGGTTTATCCAAGTATTTTCTTTCTATTTCGAAACTAAGTTCCCGGAAGTTTAAACATATTTATTGTCAACAGTGGACAAATGATTAGGCACAAGTTATAACAACTTATCAATGCCTTCTCGCCGGAAGACTTCCTATTTAAACCTATTTAAAATTTACCAATATATAAGATAATTTAGTCTGAAGTGTATCGTTTGCGAGTCAGTGTGAGTGTGTCCTTGTGAGTGTCTTTGTCTTATCTGTAATTGCCATAAGATGTAAAACTTCAGCAAATAAAGAACTTCAACTTGAATCGAAAGATTTTCTTCATTGCAGTTCATTATAATCACTGTCTGTGACTTCTGTCCAGTAACATATGGGTCCCTCGCCACGCGGAACGCGCGCGAGCACGGACCTGGTCAACAGCTGTCGCTCGGATTGTCAATAGTGACTATCAATGGTACAGACAGGTGCGAGGAGGGGCATTGCGGACGTGACATGAGAAATCACAAAAAACGTACGGGTTTGTTGGCGGTCAAATGAGGAGTTACAAAACATACAATTAGTATCGCCCCTAGAATGGGAGACAATCGCATCCTCTCATCCCTCCTAGCCGCCCCTCCCGACCCACCACCCTAACGTATCCCAACCGTACCCCATTTCCTCACGACCGTGCAATAGATGTGTCCGTATAGTTCGTATTTGACTTTATCCAGTTAGTTTATGTGAAGTCCAGAAAACGTTTTGCACACGCCACGATTAAACAAGTGTCCTATATCTAATTATAGCGTAGACAGAAATGAAAATACACTGAAAATCAGCAATATGTTCTATTTTAATAAAATTGGTAACCATTTATTTTTACGAACAAAGAAAACAACATCAAAAGAATATTTGAATACGTCCTGTGTGTCGTAAATATCGTCCTGTGTGTCGTAAATATCGTTCTGTGTGTCGTAAATATCGTTGTAATAACTTGCAATCCTTTTGCTACATTTCTGGCTGTAAAATATGTTTACATCATAAATCACTTGATGATCAAACATGTTTCATTTCATATGTAGCCGTAAACTATGAAAAACATTCATCTTCCCATTCTTATAACCGAAGAGTTCTGTGCTAGATATACATGTATCGTACATACGTAAACAAGTTTTACGACAGAAAACTGTAACTCGCCTCTGATCGTGATATTGTTATCGTACCGATAGATCCCGACCTTCACCTTAGGTCCCGGATCCAGGGTTTGTAAACAAGCTCTAATACAGCTTAGTAAGGAACTATCCAATTCTATTCTGACCTGCTGAGAAGAGCAAACGGTCATGCCGGACTAGCTTCTACCTTGTAAACAAAATTAAATAGTATTGTTATTGTCTCAAGATATAAGCCTTTTCCATTAAAAGTAATTTTAACTAAGGTAAGCGGTCCTGTGGGGTATTACAATCTGTATGGATGGAAATGACAATGATCGATGCACGGAGGAGCTGCAAGCAGTGTTACAGGGTTGTGAAATTCTGTTGCACTCTTCACTTAGAACGTGCACGTGCTATTTGATCAATGGGGACGCAGACTCGAAGCGATTGGTCCTTGAGCAAAGCTGCTACTGAAATATATATTCTAGTGCACTAGCAGTAGTACCAGTCGTAGACTTGCTTAAGTTTGGGTAACATCTTAGGATGAAGGCAGAAACTCTTGTTTAGATCTACCACGTGTACATAGAACACAGAACGAATCACATAATGGAGACAAACTTTCACCAAACAAATGGTCATCATTTACTTGGTTGGACCCTTCTTCATACAAATGGTCATAACTTACTATGGTAGGACCCTCCACCAAACAAATGAGCATCACTTATTTGGTTTGACCCTCCACCAAACATGGACGTAACTTTCTTTTTGTGACCCTTCGCCATACATAGTATTAACTAACTAGGTTGCTACATGTCAATACAGATGACCATAACTTACTGGGTTGGACCATACAACACTTATTGTCGTAGCTATCTAGGTGGGACCCTTATCAATACAGATGACCATAACTTACTTGTTTGGACCATACAACACACATTGTCGTAGCTATCTAGGTGGGACCCTTATCAGTACAGATGACCATAACTAACTAGGTTGGACCATACAACACACATTGTCGTAGCTATCTAGGTGGGACCCTTATTAATATAGATGACCATAACTAACTAGGTTGGAACATACAACACACATTGTCGTAGCTATCTAGGTGGGACCCTTATCAATACAGATGACCATAACCTACTGGGTTGGACCATACAACACTTATTGTCGTAGCTATCTAGGTGGGACCCTTATCAATATAAATGACCATAACTTACTGGGTTGGACCTTTCTTCGTACAAATGGTCATCACTCGGTTGGACCCATCTACTATAACCTTTATATATTACTGGGTATAGTTACATAACTGTATAAGACACTATTATAACGTATATTACTGGGTATATTTACATTACTGTGTAAGACCCTCTATTATAACATATATTACTGGGTATATTTACATTACTGTGTAAGAACTCTACTATAACATATATTACTGGGTATATATACATTACTGTGTAAGACACTCTATTATAACATATATCACTGGGTATAGTTACATTACTGTGTAAGACCCTCTATTATAACATATATTACTGGATATATTTACATTTCTGTGTAAGACTAGGTGGGACCCTTATCAATATAAATGACCATAACTTACTGGGTTGGACCTTTCTTCGTACAAATGGTCATCACTCGGTTGGACCCATCTACTATAACCTTTATATATTACTGGGTATAGTTACATAACTGTATAAGACACTATTATAACGTATATTACTGGGTATATTTACATTACTGTGTAAGACCCTCTACTATAACATATATTACTGGGTATAGTTACATTACTGTGTAAGACACTCTATTATAACACATATTACTGGCTATAGTTACATTACTGTGTAAGACCCTCTATTATAACATATATTACTGGATATATTTACATTTCTGTGTAAGACCCTCTACTATAACATATATTACTGGGTATAGTTACATTACTGTGTAAGACCCTATATTAGAACATATATTACTGGGTATATATACATTACTGTGTAAGACACTCTATTATAACATATATTACTAGTTACATTACTGTGTAAGACCCTCTCCTATAACATATATTACTGGGTATATTTACATTACTGTGTAAGACCCTATATTAGAACATATATTACTGGGTATATTTACATTACTGTGTAAGACCCTCTAATATAACATATATTACTGGGTATATATACATTACTGTGTAAGACACTCTATTATAACATATATTACTAGTTACATTACTGTGTAAGAACTCTATTATAACATATATTACTAGTTACATTACTGTGTAAGACACTCTATTATAACATATATTACTGGGGATAGTTACATTACTGTGTAAGACCCTCTATTATAACATATATTACTGGGTATATTTACATTTCTGTGTAAGACCATCTACTATAACATATATTACTGGGTATAGTTACATTACTGTGTAAGCCCCTCTATTATAACCTATATTACTGGGTATAGTTACATTAATGTGTAAGAACTCTATTAAAACATACATTACTGGGTATAGTTACATTACTGGGTAAGACTTTCTATTATAACATATATTACTGGGTATAGTTGCATTACTGTGTAAGACCCTCTCTATAACATATATTACTGGGTGGGTATATTTACATTACTGTGTAAGGCCCTATATAATAACATATATTAGGAGGTATAGGTATAGTTACATTACTGTGTAAGACCCTCTAGTATAACATATATTACTGGGTATAGTTGCATTACTGTGGAAGACCCTCTCTATAACATATATTACTGGGTGGGTATATTTACATTACTGTGTAAGACCCTCTACTTTAACATATTTATATTCCTTGTTAGATATTTAAATTATTGTATTAGATCCTATATATTGAGAATAATGCGATGTATATTGTATTACTGTTACTGTGTAAGACCCTCTATTATAACATATATTACTGGGGATAGTTACATTACTGTGTAAGACCCTCTACTTTAACATATTTATATTCCTTGTTATATATTTAAATTACTGTATTAGACCCTATATGTATATTTACATTACTGTGTAAGAACTTTACTATAACATATATTACTGGGTATATATACGTTACTGTGTAAGACAC